TGGCATAAAAGTCGTTGTAACAAATGGGCTCTCTCCAAATTTCCATACAAATCATTCCATCACTTTGTGCAATGGCGACCAAGCAGGCTATCGTTTTGGAGCTAACTACGCCGGCCACAAGAAGGTGTCAGAAAATGAGGCATATCCTGTTCTTCAGGGTGAAGTTCAACCGAATGGTCAGGTGCAAGCACAAATAGTCCACCAGTTTGCCCCATCTCTTCGTATGCAATACATGACTCAACTACAGAAGTCGAAGATGAGTGCCCAACAAATTGCGGCAGACTTTAGGCAGGGTAATTGGCAGACAAATTTGACTGTTATAAATCCTGACCTTCAGCGCCGACAAGTCATGACTGCACTGGGAACTATGTGCCAGGTGACTCGACGATTTGCCCTTGGTAGCATGTTCTTCTACCATCGTTCTCCCCAACTTCCAGCTGGGCAGGATGGAACTTGGAGCATTGGAGGTAAGTACTCTGGCTCCAAATGGACAGCTGCCGCGTCTTTGAGGCCGTTTCATCTTGGTCTTCATTCCAGCTTTCACATGCGCTATGATGAGACCTTGCAATTCGCTGCTGAGTTGGAGTCTAATTTCCAACAGCAAAATAACACTGCAACCATTGGCTATCAGTTTGATTTCCCTAAAGGCGCTGCTTCTGTAAAGGCGCAGATCGATTCCAATTGGAATATTGCTGCATCGTTGGAGAAAAAGATGTTTCCTTTCACTTTTACTCTTTGCGCCATGGGAAATCAATCTGCCGAACGATATGCTGTTGGATTTGGTCTCTCTTTGCTTGTGTAGTTAGTCTATCTTTTCTTTTGTTTGCATAGCTCTTTATCCAATTAGGTATACCAAAACTATTTTATATATACGTTTGTCTACCCCGGATGCATTTCCCTAACATAGTCTGCCTTATAGACCACTTGTTACAATGCCTCTTCCTTGACTTGTACATAATTGCGCTCTTGGGTCTGTCTATTTTTACTAGGAATCGATGGGTATACTCATTTTACTGATCGCTCTGATTTCCTTTTTAAGTTCATCCAAATTACAAAATTTGATTACCAAGGAGGCATATATCATCTTCTCAGAATGTATCTAATTGTAGAATAAAGTTGAAGGTTTTGAATCTGCTTTTTGAACATTTAAATCTTGGTTACTGTCTTGTGTTACCAAAGATTGCTTCTGCGTGTCTGCATCTACTGCAACCACCATGGGCAACGTTTTCTGCCTGAGGGACGCTGTAAATTAGGCTCATACTGATAATGGAGGCCATC